ACACCCATGAGTGTGCAAGGAATCGTGCATAATTCACAGTCCTATCATTTCTGTGTAACAACCACTGAAAGTAGCCCTTACTGAGCAAAAATCTAAAACATTTTCTATCGGGTGGGAAGCCTGGAGGAAAAAAAAGCTGAGAAGTGCTGCTCTAGAGAAATTTTTCCACAGAGTAAACAAACATTATAGAAAACTCCACTATTTCTATACCCTCAACTAGCAAAGGTTTGTTCACTAAGCATCTTCCCAGCCTACTCAAACTTACATGAGTGCTAGCCAGTAAACTATAAGACATTGGGTCTTTTCTTTTAAAAAGGTGCTAGTAAATTTGAGATTTCATAATTCTCTTCAATACAACAAATGCCAACCAATACTGGTAACTGTAGAGAACGTTACGAGCAATGAAAAAAAAAGTCAGCTTTGTGTTTAGGATGAGGATCACTAAACTCTGAATTCAACATTTCAGAACTTGATGAAATGCTGGTAGAATAGTTTCTTCAATATCTTTCTTTGTTTTACTTTTTTAAAAGATTTTATTTATTTATTCATGAGAGACAGAGAGACAGAGACAGAGACACACACACAGGCAGAGGGAGAAGCACGCTCCCCATGCAGGGAGCCTGACATGGGACTCTACATGGGTCTCCAGGATCAGGCCCTGGGCTGAAGGCAGCGGTAAACTGCTGAGCCACCCAGACTGCCCTCTTTCTTTGTTTTTAAATGATTACATAGCATCAGCATATTTATCCGTCCAGCCAGACACTTCTAACAAGCACACACACACACACACACACACACACACACACACACACACAGATTTAGGTCTTGCTTGTCAAAGTGTGGTAGATGTCTGACCCAGCATCATCTCAGTGAGGGTCCAGTTATTTTCAGGCTTTGAGAAAAGGTTACCAAAATGGCCAGTAAACAGAGACAGAGATCAAAAGAGAGAGAGTGAGCAGCTGGCAAAATACTTCATTAAGTCACCAAGTCCTCACGACATCTAGTTCAGCTTCTCAGCAACTTCTCATTCAGGCTCTAACCTGAAGCTAAAAAAGCCCAGCTATTAATTTTGCAATCCCCTCAAGTCATCTAGCCTTAAAAGAGAGGTGCTGAGGTTGATCTGATCGGTTACTCTCCAGATTAAAAAAAGAAATCTTTAGGAGGATGCCACAGGTGTGAGGAAAATATCCTGAAAACAAGAAAGAAGTGTCTATGTTTCCATTTAGCTAAAAGCATGAAAGGAGAGAAATGAAAGAAAATCTGGGACAAGGCAGCACTTGATGAAGCTGCAGACAAAGAGAAAATGGTGGAGAGGTAGGGGGGTGGGGAGAGGTTTCCTTTTCCCTCTCTGACCAACCTCAAAAAACTTGATTTTTGTTTGCTTTCTATTTTTCAGAATAATGATTTCAGGTTTGGTTATAAGATAAGTCCCTTGCTTGCCACACCCAACCTACATTTTGTTCCCTGTTTGAGCAGATTTACAAATTGATATCATCAAGGGAAAAAATAACAAAACTGTCCAGTCCTTAATTCCAACTCATAATCCCATGAAGAGCAGTCACATTACAAGTAAGAGTCAGAGACCTAAGGATTCATTGTTTTGAATGTGTATATGTAGACCAGAGGAGAAAATTATTACAGGGAAGAAAAACACTTGACGGGATGAGCACTGGGTGTTATTCTGTATGTTGGTAAATTGAACACCAATAAAAATTAATTTATAAAAAAAAAATAATAAAAAAAAATAAAAAAGAAAATTAAATGCACCAACAAATTCAATTATTATTATATTAAGGTTTGCAACTCAAAGAATGAAAGTGTGATCAGGTAAAATTAGCACTGGCAGAAAGTGTCCCAAAGTGACCCTGCAATTGGAAGGCTTCAAGCTTCTTGGAAAATAGCTCTTACTGATGTTAACCTTTGGCAGAGCTAAAAGAGATACTCTGAGGAAGACCAAGAGGAGCCTTCCATCAGCATGTATTTCCAAATGAGGTATCACCTAGTGTGGCTATTTGGTTCTCTGGTTCTGATCACTGGTACCCAAACGTAACTCACTAGTTTTATTTGCTGACAATGGAGAAAGGATGCTTATTTACAGCATACTGACTCTCAAGAACTATGGACAGAAAGCATCAGACTATCTTGGTCCCAAAGCAAAATTCTGCATTACAAAATAAACTGCTCCTTGCAAAATAGTCATAAAAATGTGTTTGATAACTAAAGATGAGAGAGGAGATGGAAAGGGGAGTAATAAAATGCCTTCTTTTTAAATAAGAGGAAAAAAAGCAGGATTTGTGATCTCAAAGCACTACAGAAATAATAACTGTTATAAAAATCAGAACAAATTACCAAGAGAAAAATTAAAATGTTCTTTTTGCATCTGGATAATTAAGATCTAAATCTCAACTTTAATTCCTGCACAAGCTTCCTTGGGTCTCTACTCCCATCACTTTTTATTATTCCTTCTGTTCAAACTACATGCTAAATTAAGTTTTTTTTAAGGACCACCTTCAGTTTCTCTCCTTCATCCTTTCTCCTTTCAGCAGAAACATTGTAGATATATAAGAACACAGAGTTATTCCAAAGGTTACTATAGTTAAAGCCCCCCCCATTAACTAATGTGTATGAACACACACACACACAATTGGAAAAGGGAGGAATCCAACATTATTGGAAGCCTCTAGAATTCTTAGATTTTTAACTCAAATTTTTAACTCAAATTTGACATATAATGCATGCAATACAGACAGGAAGTTCTGGCTTTGGCTTAAAAAAAACCCTTGCCTTTCACCAAATTGTGCCCCAGTAAAGTGAGAAAGAAAGATGAAGTAGGAAAAGGTCAACTTTTAGACTGGGATTGGTTGCATTCTGATGAAATTGATAAATCTTAAAAAAAAAAAACAAAAAACAAAACTGACTCAATGATTTTCTCAGACCTGGGATAAAATAACCTAGCTTACTGCCCTCCTGACGGGAAGAACTTTTTGCTTTCTATGGCTACTGCCTAAAAATCTCAGGTTATGTTTTCAAGGAAACACATCCCTTAACAAATATGTGGAATTGTTCATTTCCTATTACCTGAATTAATTGGCGGGGGGGGGGCAGTGCAGAAGAGAGAAGGTTCCAGTTTAGCATCATGGTTATGTCAAGAAGTACCTTAGACATCTCCATCCCTCAAAAAACTTCACAGCAGAACTAACTACCAACAACACTAGGGGAAAAAAATTAACCCTATCAAATAAATCTGTTCTTATAAAATGAAGAAAACCTTTTATACCATGGTATAACCAAATTGCAAAAATAATTTTTAGAAAAAACCCAAACTAACTGGAAAATGTTTGAAAATCCTGTAAGCCAAACATTAAAAATCTAATAGTAGGATGTAAAGGCTGGTAACAAGCTGTTTCTTCAATGGCTCAGAAAATAATATTTTACAAAATCCTATCCTCTTCTTCCCTAACACTGTTCTATCAATCTTCCAAGAACAAAAGCATCGGTGAAAGGAGGCAAATTGTTGGATTTAAGTCACTAAAGATGCTAATAAGGCTAACAAAGAAATTTTGGAAAAGTCACAGATAAAAAAAATAGCTAAAGAAAAACATAACAAGACAACTCCAAGGGGACATCAGCACCCAGCACACCTGAGGAATTAGTTCCTTGGTCAGTATTCCCTCCCTCACTGAGATAAATTAGTATATTTGTTTGGAGGGGGGAATCTTCAACATGATCTCCTCAAAAATGGGAGGCTCAACAAATATGGGAAGAATCTTTAATAAGCCAGATGAACTTGATCACCATTTTTCTCATTAAAAGTCATGGGCAAGATTATGGTTTACAAGTCCCTAACAGTTCTTACCAAGTTTTTTAAAAGTAGCAGCTCATATCTTAAAATGCAAGCACATCTACTATAACATTGTGTGTCAACTTTAATTTAAAAATGCAAGCATGTTCTTAAAATGAAGGAATATATTAAAGAGCCTCACTCCTCCCTCCCAAAAGTAATTTCTGAGCACAATGGAATAGCAGAAAAGTCCTTTAAAAAATTTCCAACACTTTATAAGTCAGACTCAGGTCTCGCTAAATTATCTATTAAAAGAACATTCTCCTCTTTTGTGGATCTGATGCAAACTCGAAGTGGGAGGCTGTGAATCTGCTGTACTCCAAAGAGAAAATAAACACTTTACAAGAGAAAACCGACCCAAGTAGCTATTTCCAACATGGTCAACCTGTGAGAGCAAATATTGCCCAGTGTTTACGAAGAAATAAGTTGTCTGCTAGTTTTCCTCTACCTTTGCCCGCTCTACTCCTGCCCGATTGGATTCTCTTTGCTGACTTCCAACCCTGGGGCAAATCCTCAGTTGTCCCAGAGGAAGGAACTTCATCCTATCTTCACACAGCGGTCCTCAGAACCCAGAGAAAGACCTTCTTCCCCTAATCCGGGCACCTCCATTTTATCTCTTTGGAGGAGGCGGGCTCAGAAAAGTTTAGGCCAGTCCTTTTGCCTCTAACCTGCCAAGAACAGCCACAGGCTGGGAGGCAAACCCTAACACAGGCTTAAGAGGTGAAACTGCCCATATTTCCTGTGCAGGTTCTCAGATTTGGGAAGAGGGAGGAGAAAAAGTACTGGAGAGCTTAAGAGCTTGAAGGTGGCCCTTACTATTGGATTTAAGTTTGGAGCCTTTGGGACCTGGAGCACCATGAGGTATTGAGGATTTTAAGAGGCTGGAGGTGGGCGAGGTGTTGTTAAGGTATCTGGAAGGGCACACAGCAGCATCCAGGGCTCTTGGTGGTGGGGAGTGGGGCACACGGTGGGGATTCTGAGCACAAAGGTCTTCTCTTTGGCAGGCTAGAAGTACCCAGAAGGCTCCAGATTCAGGGCGGCCCTTTTTATGGAACACTGTTGAGCTCTCCCAGGGGCAGAGTGTTCCCGCAGTTAGAAGAGAGATACCCCAGAACACCGACCAGGGTGATTCAAAGATATGTGAGGAGGAGAAACTTACCGCATGTCCCCATAGGGTCCGGAGTAGCTCTCCATCCAGGAGCCCATCTCGCTTTTGACACAACTAGGACTTGGAAAGGGCACTCTGCTCACCACACCGCCCGGATACCACACATCAGGTGGAGGGAAGTCACCTTCCTGGCCCGCCAACCCCTGAGGTGGCCGAGTGTAGCCATAGGGGGCTACAGATCCCCCCTCGCCTGCACTGCCGCCTCCACTCCCGCCGCAGGGCCCATACAGCTGGCCTTCTTCTGCTGTGAAGAGAGTGTGCCAGGATGAGGAGGTGGTGGCCGAGGGTGAGCCCGAGCTGGGTCCTGCTGCACCCGCTCCGTGCAGGCTCGCCAGATCCCCGTAGCGGCATTGTGCCGCTGCAGCCGCCCAGGCACTGCCATAGTCCAGAGGGTTTTCCAGCTTGATGCGGGTGTGAGGATGGGGAGGTGGTGGATGGGGAGGCGGCCCGCCTAGGGAGAGCGGAAAGTTGTAGTAGTCTCGACTTTGATAAGCTGCCACTTCATCTAGTGCTCCAGACTTGTAAAGAGACAGGGTGGATGGCATCTCAAGTGTTCCGGAGCCCCCTGCTTCACTGCTGCTTGAACAGCCCAGGCTGTCCCCATCCAATCCTTTCGTATAACCTGCCTTGAAAGGGGAATATTCAGCAGTTTCTTCGGTGCCCTTGCCCGGGCCGTCATCCAGCAGAGAACCTTTGCATTCGGCCAGCGGGGCGCAAGGACGTACAGCAGGTGGACCTCCCAGGAGCGGGGCGTACATACAATCCCCCCGAAGCTGTTCCCCAGGGCTCAGATGTTCCAATGCCTCCACACCCAAACCCATGGACACCGACACTGCCTTACACAACTCCTTGGCGCTGTCCGAGATGGTCGAACTGCCACCTAGGTAACTGTCCTTGGAGGAGGTGGAAGCACCGGCGGCCTCCCTTGCTCTCCCGCTGCTGCTACCTTCTGATACTACCTCCTGCTGCTGCTGCTGCTGCTGCTGCTGCTGCTGCTGAAGGAGTTGCATGGTTCCGGCCTCGCTCAGGATGTCTTTAAGATCGGTGGAACAGCTACTTAAGCCCGGGAAAGTGGGACCCAGCAGTGACAACGTGGATGGGGCAGCTGAGTCATTCTCGTCCGGTGGTGCTGGCTGCTGCTGCTGCAGCCCTTTGCCGGTGGCCGAAGCCACTCCAGGCTCTGGAACGCAGCCGCTCTCCGGATGGCCCTTGGAGGCTGACCGCTGTTGGGAAGGCTGCTGTTCCTCATCCAGAGCCAGGTAGCCTGTGGGGCCTCTGCTCTGCGCTTGGGGAGAGCCATCATCACCCTGCTGTTGCTGCTGCTGCTGCCGAGGACTGGTCTCCTGCTGCTGCTGCTGCTGCTGCTGCTGCTGCTGCTGCTGCTGCAAATGGGCACCGGGAGGTGCTGCGCTCACGGCCTCAGGGTGCCTGGGGCCCGGGTTCTGGATCACTTCGCGCACACTCTGGAACAGGTTCTGGAAAGCTCCTCGATAGGTCTTGGACGGCGGCCGGGGGTAGACCCTCCCTAGCCCTAACTGTACCTCCATCCTTGGGCTTGGCTGACTCTTCCACCTAATTCCTTTATCCCGTTTCCCCTTCTCTAGCCTAGAAGAGTTCAACAGGCTGCGATGCGGTCGTCGCTGCAGCTAGCTGCCCACCAGCGGGAAGCTTCTGGGAAGGAAACTTGCAGGAATAACCACGCAAAAAGCACTCTGACAGCCTCAAAGTCTCCTGCACAGTAAAACGCGCTGGGCACGATCTGCCGTGCTAGGCTCACAGTCTGTTCCTGAAATCTTGTGAGGGCAGATTCAAAAGATGCCCAAGTCTTGAAGGAAACAAAACAAAAACAAGGGAAACCCTCTACCTTCCAAATTCAGTGTCCACTGAAGCAGGTGCAAATAGGAACCGGATTATTTTCTTTTTGTTTTATCTTGGGTTTGGGGGTTTGTTTTGTTCGGATTTTGTTTTTGTTTTGAATTGTCTATGGAACCCCTGACCGCCTTTTCATTGTTTGGTCTCTGGCCCTGCAAACTGGGGGGGGGGGGGGAGGGGGAGAAGGAAAGGAGCTGCTGGTACAGAGGAAGAAGGTAAAGGAATGAGGGAAAACTGGGGCCAGCCCCGCGTACCGCCTAACTAGCCCGGTCCCAGCGGCAGTGCTGAAGCGGCTCACTGGTAGTCTGGCTCCCCAGAGCCGTCTTTGCAACGTGCAGCTAGCTCGCCTGTTCGCAGCCAAAGGGAGTTAACTCTCTGCAAACTCTGGCTGGCCTCGCTGGGCCGACTTGGGGTGGGGGGGGGGGAGTAGGAGGACGGGCAGAGAGAAGCCGGCTGAGGCAGCAACAGGAGAACCGTGTGGGGGGGGGGTGGAAAGGAGGAGGACAAAAGCAGCCTTCAGTCCTACCCGGCACTTTCCTCGCTTCCTCCGAGTCTCTAGCTGCTTTAAAAACTTCACCGAAGAGGAAAGGGCAGCTCTGGGGCGGCGGCTCCAAGCCGCGGCGCTGCAAGAAGCGTTGGCTGCTGCGGGAGCCCAGCTGGGGTTGACGCAGTACGTCCCTTCAGCTCCTGTCCGACACTGGAGCGGGGAGTTTGGTCGCTCTCCTCTGTTGCCTCTTCTGCCTCCCGGCTAGCTTGGGACCCTCCAGCTCTCCCCGCACGCTGGTTCCCTGGGATCTCTGAAGGGGCGCTAGGAGGTGAAGAGCAAAAGCAACAGTTTGCTAGTCGGGTCCCGCCCCCGCCGGGCCGGCCTCCTAGCCTTCCCACCTCCCTTCTCGCTCCCCTCCCCTTTTCTTTTCTCCCCTCCCCTTTTCTTTTCTCCCCTCCCCTCGCGGCGCGCTATTGCACGGTGGCTTTGGAGAAATGAGTGCTGGCGAAGCGTGGGTGAAAGCAGGAGAGGGGAGCTTTAGCCCAGGAGGACCCTAGCTCCCTGGATACCTCTTACTTTTCGGGACCGGGCTTTACATGCCAGAGCTGAAGCTTTAACCCGGAGCTTTATTTTGAGGACAGTGCTAAGTGGAGCTCCCTAAGGCCAGCACTTACAGATTTGGTTCCGAAGTCCAATCTCAAAACAGACTCCGCTTGTGTGTGAGGGGGAAGGGAGAAGGTAGCGGCGACAGGAGTACCAGCGTGTCAGGCGAGGGGCTATATGTTCAAAGCAGACAGAAGCGCAGATGGGAGGGTCTCCTCCAAACTGAGGAAGAAGCTATGGACAAAGCAGCTGATACTGGCTGAAACCTTCCAAATTTCTCCTTAGGGGTATATTGGGCCTTGTGGCATGATGTCAGTTGCGCTAGGAACCCTCTGCCTAATAACCAGAGGACAACTCTACCCTCTTCTCTTCCTGTGTGCCTATTTGCCTCTAAACATACACTTCTCATCTATTCAGACACGCAAAGGCAAAATCACCCAGATAAGCAGGCAAACACATAAACACTAGAAACACTAGTCATGTACACAGGGACCTCGATTTTGTCCAGGGTTTTGCAGACGTTTGCTCATATACTGGCACTTGCTTTTCCAAGTTGCCTTTGCATATTTTAAGCTTACAAACTGCACTATTCAAGGGATGGAAGCTACATAGGACTGCTTTTCTTCCTCTTGGTGGACAGCCAGGAGTAGGGAGTGAAGTGGGATCTTGAAATTGCTCCTTTATGGAGGAGACACCATAGTATCTCTCTAAAGATGGAGAAGCAGGTGAGGATGGAAGAGAGGAAGAAATGGCAGGGTAGACCTATGGGAAAGGAGGTTTCCCTTTGTGTCAGCGGGGGCCCTTGGCCTTCCTAGCTTTTAAATTTCTTACACCTCTAGATTTGGGCAGGGTCTGTCTCTCCCAGAAGGCTGGTGGAGATTTTTTCATGGATCTCTTCTACTTTTTACTGAGTCTACAGAGTCTTATCTTGTTCACAGCCAAGCGTCATGGGCATTTACTTACCCTCACCAAAGAAGGTAACTTGATCTAAGGGAAGGAAGAGTGGGCATGATCAGCTCTGTTTTCCAAACGAAGACATTGAAACAAGGGCATAATTTGTTCTATGTTCCACATTAGTAGAACCTAAACTAGTCTTCCATCTCATTGCTATTTTAGCTAGATTAATCAATGTCAAGGGCACTTGGGCAAGAGCTATAAATGAACCTTCCAGAATGCAAAGGCCTGAGGAGCTTTTTACCTGATGTGGTGAAAATTATCCCTTGGTATTTTAATGGCTTCAGCCTTGCCTGGATATATCCTAAATATACCCCTTCCTTGCCCTTTTTAGTGAGGAATCTCACAAATCATCCCTTATGGTAAAGAAGCAGTCTATTCTTAGAGATATCAAATTGTAATAAGGATAATTTTCAATTCCTCACTGTAATAGCTAACAGGAATATGTAATTGAAGTGCACAGATATTTTGAAAATTTTATTTGAATAATTATTACAACCTCTAGTTCCACCAAAGCTTTTAACTAGGGTTGCTCAAAGAGAATTGAGTCAACTGGGCTGATGAGAAAGCAGCATGGAAATAACATAGGTCTCAGAGCCAGAAGAACTGTCTACAGACTGACAATGAATCTCTTCCAATTCCTCAGCTTCCATTTTTTGCCCTGTGAAGTGGGAAGAGGAGAAGGCAGAGCCTGAACTAGATGGTCTTTCTGACACTGACAATTAGAGTGCTATGACTGACTGGATTTTTCTTCTTATTTACACCCAATAGGGGAAGGGTGTTGGGGGGTGCTAATCTTAGTGAAATGTCCAACAGATAGGGTAAAGAAGCTTTAAAAAATTAAGTTATGAAATAATTCTCCAAAGTTGCCCATTCAATAAATCGCAGCCCAACAGACATTTAAACCCAGATCTGAAGGACTCCAAAGTTCACGTTGCTTCTAGAATGCCAAAATTGTCTTCATGGTTTTGTCATCAGAAAATTGTGGCCAATAATACTTACCTTAGAAGACTGAAGTGGTAGTTAAAGAAGATGATGGGACAACTTAGTAAACAGGAAAGCACTCTACAAATCTAAAGAATCACATTGTTATGTTTTAGTTTTAAAGGGGTGCTATCAACATTTATATCATTGTCAGGAAAAGCTAACTACTGTGAACATAATAGGGTATCTACTTTATTCTGAATTTTAAACTCTGATCTCCCATTTCATCTTATTTTCTTTCTATGCCTTTAAAAAAGATCAAGAGACACTGTTGAATATTATATAAATTGTGTGCTTGTACCATCTTTTTTCTTCTTTTTCTTCTTCTCCTTCTCCTTTTTCTTTATAATTTCTTAGCAACCAGATTAGCAACCAGAGGTGTCCTCTCAGGTCATGTAAGTGAAGGTCAGTTTTTGCCATGGGTTTCCTCTACAGAGGAAATTACAATTTCAAGGGAGTTTTGTTAATGTAATTCTTCCTAGCTCCTTGCTTTGGAAAGCCAGGATGAACTGACCTTTGGAAAATGGTGGACATTCTCCACCTCCTGTAGGTTTTATTTCCTAAATAGCTCACAAATCTGCCCAGTTTTCTTCATCTATGCTACTGCCAACCTAGTTCAAGGTAAGTATTTTCCTTTCTCACCTGTACCACCATAAGTGGTCTCCATCTTTTTCACTCTTACTTTCCTACAAGTCAGTCCTGCACTGAGCAGCCAGAGGAATTTTTAAAATTTAGAGTTAAATTTTTAGGGGATCCCTGGGTGGCTCAGTGATTTGGCGCCTGCCTTTGGCCCAGGGCATGATCCTGGAGTCCCGGGATTGAGTCCCGCATCGGGCTCCTTGCATGGGGCCTGCTTCTCCCTGTGTCCCTGTCTCTCTCTCTCTCTCTCTCTCTCTCTCTCTCTCTCTCTCTCCCGTGTGTCTCTCATGAATAAATGAATAAAATCTTTTTTAAAAAAGAGTTAAATTTTTAGAGCAGATTAAGGTTCACAACAAAACTAAAAAGAAGGTTCAATGATTTCCCATATACCTCCTGCACCCACACATCTATAGCTTCCCACATGATCAAGATTCCCCACCAGAGCAGTGTATTTGCAACGACTGATGAGCTTACATCAATACATCATAATCACCCAAAGTCCCTAGTTTATATTAGGATGAATTCTTGGCGTTGTACATTCTATGGTTTTGAACAATTGTATAATGACATGTACCCATCACTGTAGCATCATACATAGTATTTTCACTGCCCTAAAATTTCTGTCTCCAAATATTTATTCCCCTTACCACTCCCTGACAACCACTGGTCTTTATACTGTCTCCATAATTTTACCCTTTCCATGATGCCTTACATCTGGAATCATATATGTGACCTTTCATATTGGCTTCTTTCACTTAGTAATATGAACTTAAGTTTCCTCCATGTCTTTTCATAACTTGATGGCTCCTTTCTTTTTAGTATCAAATATTATTCCATTGTCTGGATGTACCACAATTTATTTATCTAGTCATTTACTGAAGTACATCCTCGTTGCTTCCATCTTTTGGCAATTATGAATAAAATTGCTATGAGCATTGTGTGTAGGCTTTTGTATGGACATTGGTTTTCAACTCCCTTGGATAAATACCAAGGAGCATGATTGCTGGATCATATATTTTAAAGGTAAGCTTAGTTTTGTAATAAACCACCAAGCTATCTTCCAAAATAGCGTACCATTTTGCATTCCCAACAGCAATGAATGAGAGTTCCCTTTGTTTCACTTCCTTGCCAGCATTTGGTGTTGTCAGCTTTCCAGATTTTGGTAGTTCTGGTAATGGTATCTCATTGCTGTTTTAATTTGAATTTCCCTGATGACATATGCGGAGTATATCTTTTCATATACTTATTTGATATTGAATATCTTCTTTGGTGAGTTGTATGTTAAGGTCTTTGGCCCATTTTTTAATCTCGTTGTTTTCTTATTGTTGAATTTCAAGTGTTCTTTGTATGTTTTGGATAGCAGTCCTTTATTGGTGTGTATTTTGCAAATATTCTATCTCAGTCTGTACTTGTTTTCTCATTCTCTTAACATTGTCTTTCACAGAGCAGAAGTTTTTAATTTTATCCAGTTTATCAATTCCTATTTTCATGGACCTTGCCTTTGGTGTTGTATCTTTTTTTTAATAATAAATTTATTTTTTATTGGTGTTCAATTGGCCAACATACAGAATAACACCCAGTGCTCATCCCCTCAAGTGCCCCCCTCAGTGCCCATCACCCATTCACCCCCACCCCCCGCCCTCCTCCCCTTCCACCACCCCTAGTTCATTTCCCAGAGTTAGGAGTCTTTATGTTCTGTCTCCCTTTCTGATAT